GCAGTCCCTGTGTTTTGCTAAGCTTGTTCTAAGTAGATGCCTTAGACCACTGAGCCATCTCGCCAGCCCCTTGTGGGAGGAACTTTTAGAAATCTCCTTGAGTGGCTGAGGAGATGGCTCAGTAGGATAAGCACCTACATTGCAAGCGCAAAGTCCTGAGTTCAAACCCCAGTACCACAAAAAGAAAGAAAGAAAGAAAGAAAGAAAGAAAGAAAGAAAGAAAGAAAGAAATCCATTAATTTGATTAAAGAGGAAACTAAATTTTAAAAGTTGGGCTATGGCAGGACCTTGGCTTTGTAGAAAATTATACTAGATGCAAAGCTGGAGATGGAGAGGCCATAGGACTAACAGGGCTGTGAACACCAGCTGTTAACGCATTTAGATTGCATTCTCTAAAAGGAGTGCAAAGCTGCTAAATCCCTGTTGAGCATGGGAGGGACAGGTTCAGACTCGAAGTAATTGAGTGTGTCAGAGCTGGAGGGACCCTAGAGATTACCCAAGTGTGACCTCCAGTGTGGAGAGACAATTGTGTGATGGAGAGCAGCTCACATGGGGGTAGTTGACTCTTTGCTCTGAGCAGCCTTTCCTGCCCTCAGACTTGCTGCCAGTACCCTGAAAGAACTAGGAAACTGGGCTTGCTCCCTCCTTAATCCTCAGGTCCCCCTCCATTTGGCCCAGTGAGCTTCCCAGCTACAGTCATATCCTGCCAGACCATGCTTTGGCTGTTTTAAGCATTATTGGTGAATCTGGACCAGTTCAATAGTTAATGCCCTAAATAGCAAGGTCAAAGCCAAATGAGATGGAATTACATTTATTTACTTTTTTTTTTTTTTTTTGTAGCACCAGAGATTGAACTCAGACCCTTGCGCTTGCCAGGGAAGCACTTATTCTACTGAGCCATCTCCCCAGCCCTATTTACTTATTTTTTTAACAGTGGCAAAATCTCACATTTATTAAAAGTAGGAAAACTGAAAGGGAAGAATGAGCTCTGTGGAGAAAATGTATGGACCAAAGAAAAAGAAAAAAGGAGAGGGGAAAAAAAAGACACTACATGAAGCAGCTTAGGGCTGGGGAGATAGCTCAGTAGAATAAGCACTTGCCTGGCAAGCACAAGGTCCTGAGTTCAATCCCTGGTACCACCAAAACCAAAACCAAAAAAGAAGCTTGATAGCTGGGATTGCATTTTAATATTTAGCCTTTACTAAGACCTTCCTCTCTATGACATACTGTGCTGAGTACTAATAGACAGTTTATTTTATTTATTTATTTATTTATTTATTTATTTATTTATTTATTTATTTATTTATTTATTCAGAACCAGGAATTGAACTCAGGCCCTTGCACTTGCCAGTCAAGTGCATATTCTATTGAGCTATCTCCCCAGTCCCTAGACAGTAGTTTAAAACTCTTACAATAGGGGCCGGGGAGATGGCTCAGTGGAATAAGCGCTTCCCTGGAAAGCGCAAGGGCCTGAGTTCAATCCCTGGTTCCTCAAAAAAAAAAAAACAATACAAAACAAAAAAAAAACCTCTTACAACCACCCTGTGAGGTTGGCAGGTAGCATTGACCAGCCACTGCGGCAGCTTCACTAGCAACTGTTACAGCCTGACCTCACAGGGTGAGATTTAGCGCGGTTTTACAAAGTGGAGCTCAAAGAAGGCAGGATAGCTGCCCTTAGTCAGATAGCCCATCAATGGTAGAGATTTTTTTGTGTTTTTGTTTGATTTTGGTTTGGGGTGGCCCCTCCCCTACCCCCATACTGAGTATTGAACCCAGGCCTGGTGTGTGCTAGACTGAGCTACCTCTGCAATCTGAAATGAAACTGTAAGTAGCAATCTTGCTTCTGAGGCCCACTTTCTGAACCCTTCTGTTCCCATGCTTCTTGAATGTGAAGCACAAAAGAAAGAAAGAAAGAAAGAAAGAAAGAAAGAAAGAAAGAAAGAAAGAAAGAAAGAAAGACAGGTAGGCAGGCAGGCAGGCAGGCACAGTTGGCTGCATCACAGAGTAGGTAGAGGTCTGGAGAAACCCCAGGGAAACTCAGAGCCCAGCACCCAGGGCTGATTTCTTTTTCCACTCCCCAGGCTTCCCTGCGAGCCATTGACGTGAAGATCCTGCAGCAGCTGGTGACCTTGAACGAGGGGATCGAGGCCATGCGCTGGCTCCTGGAGGAGCGGGGAGCGTTGACTAGCCACTGCAGCAGCCTCACCAGCAGCCAATACAGCCTGACAGGTGGCAGCCCGGGCCGCTCCAGGCGGGGCAGCTGGGACAGCCTGCCAGATACCAGCTCCACGGACCGGCTGGACAGTGTCTCTATCGGCAGCTTCTTGGACACCGTGGCCCCCAAAGAGCCGGATGACCAGGGTGCCCCTGGGGCTCCCTGTCCTGAGATGGACTGGGCAAAGATTATACCTGGAGAGGACAGGGCCAAGACTGGTGTGGATCTGATGGCCACCAGGCTAGGGAGCTGGAGGGCTTTGTGGAAACCCTCAGGAGAGGGGGTGCAAGGTGAACCACCTGAGCCCCCAGAGGATGAGAGTGCCACGCTGGACTTTGAGGCTCATTGGTACTGGGAACAGTGCCAAGATGATGTGACCTTCTTGTAACAATTTTTGCACCTTTTTGCGTTCCTGTGGCACTTTTACCCTTGGTCCTGGTTTTCCTCAAAATATGTTGTCCTTCAAATACAAGTCTAGGAATAGACTCATGGTAACTGAAATCAGTTACCATGGAAACCTAGCTCACCCTTCCTTTGGTCCCTGGAGAGTCTGTCTTTATCCCTCAATTATTCAGTCCCTAGAGCCATTTCCGTAGAGATGCTGCCTGTGGCTCTTCTTGTGAGGGTGTCTCCATCTCCATCTTCCTCCCCTCACTTTGTAAGGATTGAGGAGCCATAGGAGGTCACTGGTAGAGTGGGGTGGAGGGGTAATTACCTCACCCAAAGACTAGGAGCTTTGTCTTTTCTTGGCCAAAATGGAGGGTTAAGGAGGGATATGGTCACTTGGGTCCAACCCTTCATCTAGGATTTGTCCTCCCAGAGGCCTTTGGAGTTGGTAAACCCACCCCTTCCTATCTGCTGAGTGATATCATTTCCTGTCAGGATGGACTAGCCATCCTGTACCAGTCCTTGAATAGTATGTGATTGGGATATCAGAGTCCCTGCTGCTGAGCAAGACCAATCAACATCCATACCATTACTTCTTTTAAGTGAGAACAGGTCATCCTTCCAACAGGAAAGTTTCTCATCAGAAGATGTGTGTGCTGCTTTTCAGACAATGTGTTCTCATCTCCTCCTGCAGTGTCTCACTTCCTTTATGGCTGCATCCCTCTTGGGCACCAGTATTATCTCTGTTCTTTTACGGAGAGAAGCTGTCAGAGGCCTCCAACTGTGGCTTTCAAATCTGCTTGCCTACTCTGCCATGGAGCCCTATCTTACCCTGTTCCTCACTGGTCCCATTTCTGTGTTCTGACTTCACACCTCCTAGGATGGTTTTGTTTCTGTGCTTCCCTAACTTCTGTTTCCTCTTTTACCTTCAGTTTTTTTATATGCAGATGACTCCTGTGCTGGCCCTTTGCAGATGGGAGCTAGAAGAGGGAGAAATTTGAGCTCTGATTATACCAGAATCCTGGATGCTGGGGAGGGCTTGTCTTCTCTGAGTCTGTGATTACCCTTCCCCCGCCTCATCCAGCCTTCTATCATTTGGTCACAAGGGTGCCTGCCTGTGGTTGGGACACAAGGAATCCCCTTGTCTGGGCTACAGTGTGGGGGTGTGGCAGGAAAAGACAAAGGCTCTTTGGTCCCTGGGCCCCATCCAGGGGACCAGCAAGGGAAAGTCCTCCTTCCTTCCTCTCTTATAGCTAGTCCTTGGCTCCTGAGACCTAAGAATGCAGTGAAGGACCACCTCTGGGACTGTGCCCCTAGGTCTTAGCTAATTATACCAAAGAAGGAATTCAGGGATATTGCCAACCTGGGGGTCAGAGCGGAGACAGGCGCAGAGAGCAGGGACTGGCCATGGCTGATATAAAAATAAATTCTTGGGAGATTAACTCTGCATCCCAGGTAATGGTCCCTGTCTTTGTAATGGCCCCTTTCTTTCTTGGGTCCTGAAATCAGATTACTAGAGGGAAAAGGAGAGGAATAATGATGATCTTTGGTTGTTTGTGTGCTGTACTGAGTTGGAGGAGTCTTCCCCAAAATCCTGGAATAATGCTGCCATCTCTTTATTTTTATTTTTATTTATTTATTTATTTTGGTACTGGGGATCAAACTCAGGACCTTGTGCTTGCCAGGCAGGTGCTTATGCTGCTGAGCAATCTTCTGGCCCTTTATTTTTATTTATTTATTTTTTTATTTTATTTATTTGTGTGTGTGTGTGTGTGTGTGTGTGTGGCCAGCTCAGCCCACCAGGGGGCGGGGCTGGCTGGCATGTGGTGCTGGGGGATTGAACCGTGGTCCCTGTGCTTTGCCAAGCTTGCTCTAAGTAGGCGCTTTAGACCACTGAGCCATCTCACCAGCCCCCCTTTATTTTTATTTTTTTAACTTTTCATTCTTTTTGGATAGGGTCTCGCTGTGCAACTCAGGCTAGCCTTGAGCCCACTTTGTAGCCCAGACCCATCTTGAACTCGCACCCATCCTCCTGCCTTGGCCTCCTGAGTGCTGGGATTACGTGTGGCCCACCATGCCTGGCAATTCTGCCATTTCCTTAATTTGTATTTTATGTTTTATGTTATTTTCTACTTTCCCTAATATTTCTTTCTCAGTGCTGCATTGTACCTCCACCCCAGTCCTGGAGCAATACATTCCTTCCACGGCCCTCCCATAAAGACCCGCTTGCTTTCTGCCGTCTATCTGCTCAGTGTTTTAAATCTCCCAAATATCCTCTCCACACCTTCTTCACTGACTGCCTTCCCTGCCCTTACTGCTTCTTGTGGTCCTGGGGCTCCTGACTTCCCCTCAGACTAGGAATTCAAACACTGTACTTATCCCAATCCCTACCCTGTGCTGCTTCTCAATGTGCCCTTGAGGAACTGCCCTTCCCCTGGAATCCTTTGTATTTCTTTCGGAGGCGTCATCTAGGCCACCAGTTTCTGGGCTGAAGAGGTTGCCCGCCCTCTTGTGGTCATTTTGCACCATTGCTGTGATTGCTGAGGAGAACATCCAAGCTCAAATACAATGTAGCTTAGCATTTCAGGAGACAAGAGGAGGTCACGAGTACAGATAGGCTAGTGTCTGTCACCCACTGTAGAGCTGTGGCAAAGCCCAGATTCCTGGCCTGCAGGCCCACAGCTATGTCACTTGGTCACACGTTCCCAAAGACAGTGGAAACACTTTTTCTGTTTACGTTTGGACAATACTTTCCCATCCTAAAAAGATAGCCCAGTGTTGGAGAAAAACAGCAGGCTCTGAGGACTTGGGCCTGAGAGGGGAAAGGGTGTCCCCCTGCATGTCGAATAGGAGGAAAATCAATACTGGGCCAATCATTCTTTTCTGGAAGGAAAAGTAGTTCCATCATCAAGGAGATAAAACTCAATTGTTTCAGACCTGGAGATTAGAGGTGGGGAGGGGTGGGGAGCTATGAAAGTAGGAAAAGCAGGTAGGTCCTGTAGAGAAGGGGGTGTGTCACAGTCGGGTGGGTAGGTGCTGGAGAGTGTGGGGCAGGCACAATACACAGGCTGTGGCTGGAGAGTGTGGGGCAGGCACAATACACAGGCTGTGGCTGGAGAGTGTGGGGCAGGAGAGCTGCCCAAGCAAGGTTTCCTGGAGACTCTGGGTAGGTCGAGGCATGCTATCTTCATACCTTTGGCTGACTTCACACCAGCTCCTTACCAGAGAAGCCTAGGAACCCCAATAAACACACAGCCTCCGTCCCTGCTCTCTGCCTGAGGACTGGCTGGTTGAAGCTCAGCCATCCTTTTAGGTTTGACTTTTCTGGGTTATAAGGAAGAGCTGTTAGGGAACTCAGAGAAGAGAGGAAAAGGGTGAGAGATGGAGAGGCAAGGAAGACATGCAATCTGGATGCTGAAAGTACAAGAGAGGGAGCTACTGTCTTCTAGGTGTGGGGAACTTTTGTTAGGGTTCAGGGTGAAGGCAGAGAGAGGTGAGGCCACCCCTAGAAGGAAGTGTGGTCTGTCCCAGGCACGTGAGAGCAGGCAAGGCACAGGGCTGGGCACTTGGGACACCTGGATGCTCTGCGGCTTTGGTGAGAAATTCTGAGGTTGTAGGACACAAGGCCATCATGTACATGGTGCCAGCCACACACTGGGTTTTAGGTCATACCTGTTCAGTGCATGTGCAGAAACCCACAAGGAAATGTGACTTACAAGACACACCAATTGGTGCTTACACCCTCAGTAATTTAAAACCCTCCGACTCTTAGCAACCCTATATATTGTACATTGTTGACCATGTATTGTTGCTTAGAAAATTTGCTCAAGGTCAGGTAACATGAGTCACACTGGGAACTGGGGTCAGTATGATTGCAGGGACTTCTAGAAAGTCACCTCTGATTCTCCACCACACCCTTTGTATGCACGCATTCCTTTTTTTTCCTGGAACCGGGGATTGAACTCAGGCCCTTGCACTTGCCAGGGAAGCGCTTGTTCCACTGAGCCATCTCCGCGGCCCCCTGTATGCACACATTCCTTATTCACTTAGTACGTTAGTGCTGCCCAAGAGCAGAGACAGCCTATAATTTCTTATTACTGCTGTAACAGATCTAGTGGTTTGAAATTGGCTTCCCTGAGTTGAAGTGGAAGTGTGGACAGTTTGTGTTCCCTCAGGAGAGTGTAGGGAGGGATCTGCTTCTCTCTGCATTCTAGAGCCTGCTTCCTTTCCTTGGTTCCTGCCTCCTCCACACCACCAGCACTGGGAATTGGACCCTGCCCTTTCTTTAAAAAAATACTTTTTTTGAGACAGTCTCACTAAATCATTAAATTACCCAGGTTGGCCTTAAATTTAGGATCTTCATGCTTCAGCCTCCCAGAACACTATGGTTGCATGTGTGTGTGTGTATGTGTGTACCCTTGGAAGGAAGCCTTCCTCCATCTTCAAGGTTGGCTGCATGTTATTTTCTCATTTATCTGAATTCCACATCTCTACCTAATTCTGCTGCCCTTCTCTTCTAAGGATTGGATTATGAATTCATACCCTTGGGATTACATTGAGCCCACTGGGATAATCCAGGATCATCTTCCCATCTCAAAATCCTTATTTTATTTTTTTTTTAAATCCTTATTTTAATCACATTTTAAAGTCCTTTTTTTTTTTTTTTGCCACTTAAGATATATATTCATAGGTCCTGGGAGTGAGGCAGTGCACATCTGCGGAGGGAATCCAGCCAGCCACAGACAAGGGTGAAGGAGGGCAGGAAGATCCTCCCTGGCCTACTTTTTTTTTTTTTTTTTTTTTTGGCAGAACCAAGGATTGAACTCAGGCCCTTGAGTTTGCCAGGGAAGCGCTTATTCCACTGAGCCATCTCCCTGGCCCCACCCCTGTTCTAGGTCCCTCCTCTCAGCCTGGAGCAAGGCAGGATGCCTCAGGGAGAGTAGAAAGTGGCTCTGCACCACTGACATCAGACACAGCTGAGGAGCTTTTGTAAGCCTGTGAGGCTTCTGCTTCATCTGCTCTCTAGAGCCATTCTGTGTCACTTTGCAGGCAGGAGATAGTTACACTCCCAGTTGAGTAGTCAGGCTCTCTAGACTAGGTGTGTCATTTCTCTATCTTTAAATTATTTTTGCTCCTGAATAGTTTTATTTTGCTTGTTTTTGTGGAGGCCATGCCTCTCCGTGCGTGGTGGATTCTCACCACCAGTTGCTACTAAACACCTTTCTTCTTGCCTTCTTATGGTTCCCCATTCTCGTACCTCTCCCTGCCATAGGTAGAGCCTCAAATGTGTCAGCACTGCGTGCTTGGATATGTGTGTATCTGTAATTGTGTGCTTCTATATATATGGTATGCTTTGACAGTAAACTATCTTCTATAATGATTTAACCCAATAAAGGTTTATTTTTCACTTAATTCTACATGGCATAGGTGCTCCTTGGCTGAAGCCCACCCCCGCCATCTTGGTCAGGCTCACCCTGACCAAGGTGATGCCTGCTTCATCCCTGCCTCACACTGTTCCCTGCTGCTTCACATGCAGTCCCACCATCCAGGGATCATTCTTTCAGTTGGTCAGTCTGCCAGGAGTTAAGAAACTGTGACTTTTTTTTTCTTTCTTTTTGAGATAGGGTCTTGCTATGCCGTTCAGGCTGACCTTGAGCTCTCTTTGTAGCCCCAGCTGGTCTCACAATCCTGTTGCCTCAGCCTCCTGAGTGCTGGGATTCCAGGAGTACACCATCATGCACGCCTGTGACTTTCTAATAGTATTATGTCTTCATTACTAGCTCTTATTTCTGCCCAGAATTTTTTTTTTAACCTCCTCTAGGATCATTTTCCTGAAATAAAGTTTTTTTTTTTGTTTTTTTTTTCAGAACCAGGGATTGAACACAGACCCTTGCGCTTGCTAGGGAAGCACTTATTCCACTGAGTCATCTCCCCGGCCCTGAAATAAAGTTGATTTCAGAAAAATTTTAATTTTTTCCCTTACCTACTATTTCCCGAGTAGTGAGTTGGTGTGTCAGTTTTGTTTTTGTTTTTTGTCAACTATTAATAGTGTTCAATTTTTTTTTTTCTTTTGAGACAGGGTTTTGCTGTATCGTTCAGGCTGGACTTGAGTTTCCTGTGTAGCCCAGCTGACCTTGAACTTGCAGTGATCCCCTTTCCTTAGCCTCCTGAGTGGATTACAGGTGTGAGCCACCAGGCCTGACTATGGGGATGTTTCTAGTGAAAGTCTCTTCGGGAACAACTATAGCCTAGAATGGTAGCAGGGGATTCCTCCAGTATTTATACTTTTAATTTTATTTTTAGTTTCAGTTGGTTGTGTTTTTCAAATAATCTGTCCACTTCTCTGAGTTGTTGACTTTATTGGCATAAAGTTGTTCATAATGCTTCCTTTTGGTTTTCAGTTTACAATAAAGCATAAATGTGGAAAACACATAAAACAAAGGTAAAGCTTAATGAATTATTTGAAGCAAACCTTTTTGAGGAGGATAAATACATGAGATTAAACCTGGGGCTTTGACATTGAACAGCCTTTTTTTTTTTGGTGGAATCGGGGATTGAACTGAGACCCTTGTGCTTGCCAGATAAGTGCTTATTCTACTGAGCCATCTCCCCCCGGGCCCCAGCCTTTATTTTTTAAGCAGGATCTTGCT